AATACAAGAAACACCATATAGGAACTATGCCTGTAGACCACAACTGTCCTCTCTTTGTTTCACACTGGACACATTAGCTATGTATTTTGCAATATTCTGTAATGCACAGTTAACGGTAAAATGATTAGGCACATAGTTTAGAAAGCTCCAGAGATTCATGTGTTGGGCTGTTAAAGACTGTGTCTTCAGTGATAATTTCTCTGTGTACTACTTCCATCGAGATTAAATGGAGCAACATGCTTAAAAAAAAATAATTCTGTTATCAAGCTATATCTATTTTATATGTGACACTTGGACATTAGCATTGACATAACAAGTTGAAAGTATATGCACATTGCTTGCATATATTTGAGTTGTCAAGGTTTCATGGCCTTAAAAAAATTTATACTTATGTTTAGGTTCAAGCTAGACTGGGTTGTTAAAGAGGAAGGACAGAAACATCCTGGATGTAATTTAGCTGAAGTCACTTGAATTGGCCTGCATGTTCTCTTCCTCCAAACTAAATCAGAAATAGTCACATTCAAATGATGCGTGCATGCCTTTCACTTTTTGGACAGTATTAGAAGCGTAAGCAGATCTGGTGAAGTAAATGACTTGCAGTTGCTTTGGCTTATCTCTAGAAGGAAATTGCTTTATAAAGAATAATCTTGAATTATTGGAGAAGTGCTGTGGAATCAAAGTCTAGCAAAATTGAAAAGAGCAGGGAGTGACCATTTGTTTTTATTTTGCTAAGGCTTCCAGTGCTCTACTTCTGCAGCCACACTGAGATTTGCTACAGGGAGAGTCATGCTGTATGACTTGGTACCTCATATAGAAGGAAAACATTTGACTTTTTTTTTGGTCTTGAGACTTAACCTTGGTATCTGTTTGTTGTACAGCAATAAGCCTTTACACTCAAAAAAGAATACTCTTTCCTTATTGATCATTGTAGGAAATAATGAATGTAAATAAATGGAAAGTGTTAGATGGAAGACTTCAGTCATATAAAGTATTTAATATAAAAATACTCAATTTTTCTGTAGATATCTATTTTAAGATATTTGTCTTTTGGTTGGAAATAACAAACAGAGCAACCAGCCCTGTCCCTGGCCTGGTTTAGCACTGCTAAACTAAACATTTATCCTTGAGCCATTAGATACTGTTATGTCCTGAGCTGAAATCAAAGTGAAGATCCCAAGTAAGAGCATATCTCATTGGAGTACAGGATGGTTTTACAAAACAATGTTTGCTGTTAACAATTATTGCTATAAAATGAATGAAACATGTTGAGTGCTGCTAATGTTTAGACTATTTTTAAGCAGCTAATTTGAGGAGACAAATAAGAAACGTTGTAAGTAGAAGTGGTCACTTACATGAATGAGCAGTCACTGAATTGGCAATCATTTTCTGACATACTCTGTCACTGAGATTTTAACTGTATCTGGTTTGCTCTTAAATTTAATTATTTTGTAATTACATGAAATATTAATTACTTTGAAGCTATTTTTCCAAATATATTGTAAAGTTTAACTGTCCTGGTTCGTACAGCATAGGATTTGCAAATGTCTATTTAAAACATATTTCATTGATTTATGATTTATTTTACTTAAAATACTTTGAATCACTTGTGCTTCGCATTAAGCAATCACAGTGTTTTCATGCACAGTGTACAAACACTGTGTACACTTCCTTGAAAATGCATTACAGTATTTTCATGTTGTAATTCTTGGGTTTCTCAGTGTATGACTTATTTTTTGGCTTTGCGTTAATGTATTAAGTTGGCAAAATCTCTTTTTGTTCCAGTGCTTGACTGGTGAGGAAATTTTTAATTTGCATGGGATACCGAACAACAGTCACGTATCAAATTCAAGCTTCTCTTCAATATGTCCTGCTGTTTTGCAACAGCTAATTTTTCACCCATGTGATCATCAGGAAAACTTTGTGGATACATCTAAACCACATTCTTTACAAGGTTAGTTAATACTAATTGCATTAATACTGGGGCTGGAGTGGGGTTTTCGTAGGAGAATAGTAAGCACTTATCTATACATAAGAGGAGTGTCTTGTTCAGGAGCATGTAGTTGAAAAGTGGGAACATAAAATTAAAATGCTGTTTCAGGTCAGCGGACTATCTAAACAAATGTCCTATCTCTTAACAGTGATCTATGCAAAATGTTTTAGATAAAGGTGAAAGAATGAGTAGGTAGTTATGGAATTATTTGCCCATTAAAGGAAGAGTCTTTCTGACCTGTTTTATTTCGATGATGGTTTGTGCCCTGAAGCATAAAGACTCTTGCTAATAGCTGGTTAATAGGAGGGAAGATGGGAGTACAGAAGGGAAGTCTGTGCAGGTGATTTGCAGTGGGAAATCACACTTAGTGGGATGTGCGTGTATCAAGGCAACTCAAGGTAAAATTATTAGGGAAATGAATTTGAATGGAATTATTTGCAGGTGGGAGTCTTGACATCAGGTGAGGAGCTAGTGACTATTTTACTGAGGAAAAATACTCATACTCTTTCCAAGCTGACTCCTGCTTTCATGTCATCTTCTGTGCTGCTCCCTCCACGTGGAACATCAGCACATGGCTGAGCAGCCTTAATCTTCCTTCCTCCTATTTTTCTCACTATTATTTCTGTATTTATTGTGCACAGAACTGTAAGTGCAATAAAAAATATAGGACAGGGAAGACTCAGCTGGTTAATGAAGTCACTTGTTGCACTGATAAGGATCGAATATGTAATGGCCTATTTATTTGACTCAGTATTCCAAATAAATTTATTGTTCTAAGGGAGTCAGCTGAATTGAAGTTAAAAGTTAGGATGTTGGATGAGTAGGTGCCTAATGGCAGTATTTATGAGCAGAGATACAGCAGTGTTTTTCATAACTTTTGAAATATTACTATTAATAACATTCTGATTAATATAAGTGATTACATTTATTGATAAGGATCGAATATGTAATGGCCTATTTATTTGACTCAGTATTCCAAATAAATTTATTGTTCTAAGGGAGTCAGCTGAATTGAAGTTAAAAGTTAGGATGTTGGATGAGTAGGTGCCTAATGGCAGTATTTATGAGCAGAGATACCGCAGTGTTTTTCATAACTTTTGAAATATTAATAACATTCTGATTAATATAAGTGATGACATTTATTAAGTATTGTAGATCCTTCGTAAAACTTAACTGTGTCAGTGAATAATTAGAATTATATTTGATCAGTCACTGAAACCATGGCATCAATTTACCATGGTTGTTCTAGATTGCTTGTACCATATGGGGGCACGTATTGTCAAGAAGTCTATAATATCTGCACCGGAGGGTAGGATCTGTCTTTTTGTTAGTTTGTTTTTGTTTTGTTTTGGGCCATTTAAGAAGGTTGTAGGTGGAAAGCTTGACCCGTAGTTAACCTCCTAAGCTATTTAGACCATCCCTCTTGTTTCTCTTTATCCTGCCAGCTCAGAAGCAATGTCCAGTAGCCAGATAAGTAAGGCAGCATTCTTCCTGCCCCTCCCTTGGCTGCAGCGCAAGAAATCTGCAAGGCCCGTGGTTAGGGTATCTTAAAACCCCAAGTGTATGAGGCTGTGACACATAGCGGTACCTGTTTTGAAGGGAGATTCACAGAAAGGCCCAGTGCCAAATGCAGGTGTTGATTTATGCACATCCCCACCCCATCACAAAATGAATCTGTATTGTGGCACCATTGAGACTAGCTGATTTCAGTTCCTGCCCATGAAGGAAAATCCTGTATGTATGTTTCCAGCTGTCCTTATGTGAATTTTCTGCTCAGGGACTCCTACACGCTTAACAATATTCTGTCTTCCAAAATCCGAACAGACAAGATACGCAGAAGAAATTAGTACAATAAGCTTTACAGGGCAGCTACTTGCAATAAAAAAAAGTGCTGCCGAAGTAGAGTAAAAGTTAAAAGGCAGCATATAGCATGTCATTTTTCTTTGGGGTTTATATATCTTATATCTAACCTAGCTGACCTTAGGGGCACATTCATGTCCTTCCCTTTCTTGCTTCTCTGAAAGGTAATAGGGAGGTGTATAGAGCTGCATGAAATAGCTGGAAATGCCCAGTGGCATTCCTTCTGTACAAGGAGAGCAGGTTCTGTGCTCTCTGCTTGGCTTCTTCAGAGAGGTATTCATACCCTTGTTTCCTCTTCATCCCATGAGAGGGCTAAGGAAGAACCTGAGCCTGCCTCAGGAAGGCCCAGAGACATCGTCCCCACTTCACATAAGGAACCATGCTGAGCAATGGCGTTCTAAGAAGGGCATCTTACTCGCACTCTTGCTGTTTTATTTTTTGCATTTCTTGTAGGTTTGGGTATCTTGGCTGTCTCTTTGTTGGGGTCACAGTTCTAGAGACAGACAGAATAATGGTAGCTGGCAAAAGCTTACTGCGACACCAGTCTCAGGGGAGAGTGTGCGCCCTAAGCAGAATGCTCCACTCTGATACGTAAAGTCAGACTAGCCAGCTTCTGAGATGCATGGACTCATTAAAAGCTTAGTGTGGATGGAGTCCGAATGATTAAAACCAATTTTAAGACAGCAGTGCATATGTGATATTGTGTAATACAGTCCATAATACAGGAACTTTGGCAACATTGGTTATCTTGGATTTTTATCACTTCTCCCCTACCACACCAC